GGGGGGGGGGGGGGAGGAAGGGTGGTGGTTGAGGAATCATAACGCTAATTTTTTACCCTGATGATTAGTGAATTCGACTTAATCGTTACACTTCAAGAAAACTTAACTCCATCGTAGCAGCTTCAGAACGTTCGGAAAAATTTTAAGTAGTTTCATGTCTATGATCAATTGGAAATCGGTTACTGTGGTTTTATCGATTGGCCGGAAATCGACGTTTGAAAGCGTGAACGTTCATTTCTTACGATCACTTGGGGGAATGTACGGTTTACCGCCATGACGTTCCCATTCTCGATTAAATTCGTGATCAAGGATTTCAGCTCCGCGTTTTCTGGTCAATCCGGTCTCATCCAGGCTCAACTCGCACATTTGCATGTCATCCACACCTTATGAAAAAAGACGAAAATAATAAATAAAAAGAACCTAATGATAAAGAATAGAAAAAGTTGAGTTATTGAATAATACATTAATTGATAAATCGCATACCGGCCACTAAAAGAATCGGCGGTTTGTCAGGATGAAGTTCCATTTGTCGAGCAACGTATTGACCATCGAAGTGGGCATACCACCAGCCCCGTTTTCCGCCTCCATTGGGCGTCTCTTGTTGACCTGCCGTCGCTGGACGTACGAATGGAATTCTGAAGTATCTCTGGGACGATTCCAAGATGGGTTGTTTCATTGGAGTCCGTGGCGTCTTGGCAGCTGTTGAACAGAAATCATTTCTTGTGTTTTTTAAGGAAAGTTATCATTGGGCAGTTCCCTTCTCATACGTTCGAACGTAAATGGATCTCTTTTTATATAAATCACGTTGTCAAGACGTACCTGCCTCCATAATGGATTTCGGAGCTCTTTCGTTTTCATCCATAGTAGTGCGCCTACGATTTCTTGCCTTCCATGCGTGATAGACCTTAAGTCTGCGATGGAACTCGTGACGACAGGCCTGTTTGCAAAACGTAGAGACATGAGACAAATTTACACGGAGACAAAGATTAAGAATAGGAATTTCTCTTGTACCTCGAGTAACTCTATGTCGCAGGACGTGTTAATGGCATCGCGCAATTCGGAATATTTCCACTTGGATAGATCGTATTTCTTGTTGGAAAGTGCAGCCTGACTGTTGCGTACCTGCTCCGATCTGCGATAGAAAGTTATAATGAAGCGAGAGACGATTAATGCAAGCATCTCGGTTATCATCGGCGAAGTGTTATTCACGAGACTTCAAGACGCCTAATGAATTATTACAAGGCCCGCGGGATATGGTAGATTAATGAGAGCAGCCCAAATAAAACAGTAGTTGTTAGCTTGGATGGCCTGAAAGAATTTAGAAAAACTACGAAAGCCACAGAGAAACATCGTAGGATGTTTGTCAACCGCGCAGGAATCAATTGACAGAAGGTAAATGAATTATGAAATTCGAAAATGAATATTGAAAATTATCATGTGAATTATCGTCATGCATTCTACATTTGCAAATACAGATACGGAATAACGTACTGGTCACTCTTCTATCTATAGGGACAGATACAAGAAGTTTAGGAAGTATCTGGAGAATTGAAAAATGGCCTTATCGATACTACAATACGAGAAGGAGAGTAAAGTGGAGCGCGATACAGGAAGCGGAAGTAGACGCCGCACGCCCACAAATAGAGAGACAAAACATTAACGCACACGAACACACATGTACTTCTAATGCAACTAAAGTTCGAAAAACTACGAGGATAGTCAGTGAAGGCCAAAAACAGCAGCAGTTAGTCTTGTTAGGTGTCCATGCGTAATCGCTGAAAACATTTGATACCTTATGAGCCTGTTGTTGTTTGTCGGTGGTACCCGCACGTCTGAACCACTATGTAATTGCAAGAAAATTCATATTTTATTCTTGTAATGTCAATCTCTTGCATTCTGATTAATTCTTTAATCGAACACGAGCTGTAGCACGCGAGAGAAGACTCGTCGTTTCTGTTGAACGCATCGGAACACATTCGAAGACACTTGTCATGTGGATATTGTACAAGGGTGTAAAAATGGGTTGGTTAGGTGGTAAAGATAAATAACATAAGCAGTGTGATACCTTCTCACTGGAGGTGGAGAATCTTCCACTTGGCCATTAGATTCCTGAGCCAATCTAACGGCCAGTTCGTGGTCTCTTCGTTCCTGTTCCAGTTGTTCTCTGTAACGACTCTCCTCCATTGCTTCTTTCTCTAGCTGAGCCTACGCATTTAAATATATAGACCAGAGTTTTATATAAATTTTATCCGGAACACCAGGAAGCCAATATTCAATTGTTCAAGCAATCTGTGCACCTGCAGAGCAGCTGCTGTCTTCTTGTCTTCCTCTTCTTGTCTTCTTCTTTGTTCCTCCTCAGCTTTTCTTCGTGTCTCCATTTCGATTTTCTTCCTTCGATTGTCCTCCTCTTCTCGTTTCTTACGTTCTTCCTCCTCCTTTCGCCTCCTCTCCCCTTCCATTTCCTGCTGAATTTTTCTCAACCTTTCTTGCTCCTCCGCTATCTTCTGCTGCTTCACCATATCTTGAAGTCCCGCCATCTGTTTGTTGACTTGAGACAACAGGTCGTTGTACATCGCGTCAATTTCCTGCGGCTTAATCTTTGCATTCGCCTGGGTTGTACAAATATTTTAAAAAATGTATGACTTCCACGAACGTAGTTGGATTAGCTGCCATTACCATATAAAAATATTCTGCGCAATGCGCTTGGCACAGATACCTAAAGTCGTATGTTACTCTTCCTTACCTTAATCTTCTGAACAGCCGCTTCAAGATCGGACTGAAGTTTCTTAATATCGTTTATGCTCTTCTCCTTCGCACTCTTCAGCTGAGTCGAAGTTTCCTGCATTCTCGTTAATTGATTTTTTAAACTCTTTATCTTTACGATGCCCTTGATACGAGGCTGATGTTGCTTTTTAGCTAGGTACATTCGGGCAGTCTTCTGGATGATGATCAGATGATGACGACGATATATAATCTTGTTCTTCACTAATAAGATAAAAGAAAACCATTAAACGACATTCGTAAAATGACGTTCAAGAAGACAATGCAATGAAGTGTCTTACACTTGATCACAGAGAGTGCACAGAACTGCATTTTATTCCAACGTGATTTCAATAACCATTTCTTCACGTTCGCTACGAGTTTTTTCAGATTCTCTGGGTCGGACTTCATGATCTTATCGAACTCCGCGAATTTTCCCGGTTTGAAAAATACTCGTGTGATACCAAACTTGAAGTCTTTTTTACTCAGGTTCAAGCTGTGCAGCAAAGCCTAAAACAAGGTAAAAGCGAGACATGAAATACATATGATAAAAAACAAATCACTGAGGAACGTCAATACTAAAGTAGCAGCATCGCACCTCGCAGAAGAATCTGGGATCCAGCTTGGCTAATTCTGGTGGCAAATACGACTTGTACATATTGTAAAGTTCCTGGAATGGAACACGACTGGGATAGCCGTGTTCCATGAGTTCAAGAACAGACGTCATGCCGGAACAACGCAATTGTCCAAGAATGCTGTTTCCATCAAATTGGTGATCGACCATCTCGTTGTTAGGTTTGATACAACGAACAAAGTTTGTTCCCTGAATGAATGCAAAGTGTTAGATGAATAATGTTCACGAAACCCATGGCAAGAGTTGCTCTCAGTCAGATACTCACGTTGCTCTTCAGTTTCTCCATAAGCTCACCAAGCTGAGTCTTGAACTTGCTTCCGACGCTTATGAAAGTCAACTTTCCTTTTTGACAAGATTGGTTGGCGAATTGCGTTCGTAGAAATGTGGTGCTACTCTCTTGAATAAGTGCTTCCAACGAGGCGTGAAGGGCATCATTATTCTTTTCAATAAATTGATTCTGTAAAGGAAAATGCATTGCATTTTTTTTCATGAAGTTCTTAGAAGCGCAAATTATAATTGAAATTGGGATTTTAATTACCGTCTGGTAGCAAACACCGCCAGCATAATGACGGATAACAAATCCTTCGTCATCTCTCAGTTCCCTGTGCGCCTTTAGACGTGAAGTGCGCGGCAACGTTATTCTGAAGTGTCCATTCCATGCCCTGTGAACTTCACTCGTGAAGTGTGCAAAACTGTGAGTTGGTAGTTTCGACTCTTCGTCGAGTAAACTGTAGATTCCAATAGTTTTCGACTCGATGAGATCTGAAATGCATCGTGAAGTAAAGATTTCATTTTACAAATAATTAATATTATAATCGACACGTGTCTTTACCAATGCAGTCCTGATTATCCACGTAGGAGATTTTGGGAACATTCAGAGATTCTCTTGCATAGAGATCCTGCTCGTATTTGAGAATTCTCTCATTGAAGAATTGCTGCAGCTTCTCGTTGCAGTAATTGATGCAAAACTGTTCAAAACTGTTGACTTTGAAATACTCTAAAAAGAGGATGAAAACTTTACAAGCAGCTTTCTTAAAACGTTTTTTTTTTTTTTTAGGTATAATGATGATTTACCAAATCCCGCGATGTCGAGAACGCCGATGTAATAGCTGGAAGCTTTGAAAGGAATACTTTTGTTGATTCTGCCAACAATGTGATCAAAGAGTTTGCTGTAAATGGCTTTGGCAAGAGCGTCCCTGGCGTTGTTGGCTTCGTAGACCTTCAAGGGGACCCTGAGATCATAAATTAAATTTATATTAATAAATGCTCATGTAATTTTGAAAAATAGCAAACTCACATAATGACGGTTCCTTTGATTCCACCACGACTCGTTTGCATGACTTTTGATACAAGAGCCTGCCTCAGTTCCTCAGGATCAACCCCAAGTAATTTAGCCGACATGGTAACCGCCTTCTCCGAGTTGGCAGATATCCTGGAGCCACCCTTGGTATCCTCAGGATTGTCCTCGAAAGTGATATTCCCTAGATGAAGAACAGCTGCAACCATGGTGTAAATTTCCATGCGTTCCGCGTCTGTCAGACCCAGCCTCGTAAGAGCCTGATATTTGTGTGAACAAAAAGTTTGTATAACTTTAAATAAAACTGTCGTAGCAACAATCGATTAGAGTATCGTAGAGAAAATATTGTTGAAAAAGAAAATGTAATAAAAATGTGGAGTGAAAAAAAATTTGCAAAGGAGAACGGAAAAAAGTTACCGTCGCTCTCTCCTATAAGAAGAAATATCCATTCAGCGTAAAAGGAATACTCGTCGAGGTTATCACACGTTTTGATACAGCGATTAATATCTATTAATGCAATTATCTAGATACCTGATCTATCGCGTTAAAACCTTCGACATCGTCAAGGATCGGATCGTGCAGACTTCCCTTGCCGCGCTGCTCCCGACTCTTCTGGGCCTCATTGAGCTTCTTCTCGGATTTGGAATTGCAAAAATATTGGGTGCAGCCGTTCCTCAGATAGTGAAAATCATCAGGCTTGGTGATACCAAGTTTCGCGCGAAGATCAGCCGGTGCGCCTGCGCACATCATATAGAAAACATGGTAGTTCCTCTCGTCAGGACTTTGAAGACAGATCCTCGACTTCTCCAGGAGGTAATGCGAAATGTAGCCACCGACGACCTGACATTTAGCGTCAAAATGTACTTCCATGAATTTTCCAAAACGCGAGCTATTGTTGTTCCTCTTGGTTTTGGCATTGCCAAAGGCTTCCAAAACTGGGTTAGCTACAAGCAGAGATCATCCTTATGAAGCAGACGTGTTGCTCGCTCGAAATATCATAATAAAGCTCGACGTGTACCATCAAGAATTTTTTGCTCTATCGGTCCAGCAGTAGATCCCCAAAGGTCACAAAGGTATCTCAAGAGATACTTAGTGGATTCTGTCTTTCCAGCGCCAGACTCTCCGGATACAATAATACTTTGCGACTGTTTCAAAACCTTCATATCCCTGAAGGCTTTGTCGGCTACAGTGAAGCATTGAAGCAAAATTACAACAAAGAAATTACAAAAAAATCTAAATAAAAAAAAGTGTCCTATGTCAACGTGTCGTACCAATGGCGAAGACATGGGGTGGCGTCTCGCCAAGAGACTTTCCCTGGTAGCCCTTGATAGTTTGAGGCGAGTAAAGATCCTTGACTTCGCAGTAGGGATTCACAGCGATGAGAATATTGGCGACATAAGTCTGGAAGCATGAAAGCATCGTGATAAATCGTGATAATAGCTGACATTAATAAGGCATAAAGCGGTGGGAGAGGGAGGGGGGGGGTGACAGTGGGGTCGACCAGGCGAGACCTAGAAAGTAAGATGGCGATCACAAAGGCGTTTCAGGTGCGGTGGCAATCTACACGTGGCACTACGTAAACAGCTCGATGAATAGGAGGTACCGTAGAATGCGCAAAGAAAGGGAAAAGGCCCATTTAATCTTATCTCGGATAACTCACGTATATCCTATCCTTGAAGTAACGGGTGCGTATATTGTTCAGAAGCGTCGCTTCGTTCAGGTACATCAAAGCACCTGAAAGAACAAAGAAGACAAATTCAGCCTCTCGATATTATTTAACTAACCTATTCGAAGGCCACCTCAAAAATTCACATACAATTGTCCTCTACGTCTTTGGTGTACTCTCCGGCAGGATAGACCTCGTCCAGCGGACACGTCCTCTGGGGATGCTTTTTATCCAATGGAACGATCAGTGCATCCCCGTCGACCATGTCGACGAATTTACCAATGATGAACCCCTCTTGAGGGTCTCTGACCCAAACCTGCTGGTTCTCCATCGCACCCTCCCTGCAATCAGTAAATCATGATTCTCAGTCAATCCGCCGATTACGAAACTTTCCAGTTCCCAATAAACTATTTCCTAAAGGGATGACACGCAGTTTATTCGGGTCGCTGCATTCGAGATTTAATGTTCGGTTTCGCAATCCTGCCGACAGGAAGTGCGATGGACCCTGCCGGAGTGGCCGCGGTCAGAGCCCAATCGTTCGAGCGTTGAGAAAAGAATTAACAGAGAAGGAAAGCACGAGTGAAACCTAAAGTCTCTTGAATATTTTTTTTTTTTTTTTTTTGGAAATCTGTAAAAATCAACAGTACTAGGTAGTGACGGTAACAATGACGATTAAGAGACGTCTAATGAATATTGCTTCTGAATGATAAAACTTTTAAAAATAATATCAGCCTGATATCGATGTACGTTCCATGAGAAATTCATATTTCAGCCTAAAGATAGGAAAATTCATAAGCGCTTATAAACATTACAGGCACCTGTGATATGATAACGTGTATTTTTGAATTTCTTTCTAAATTCAGTCAAATATCCAATGAATACACGCAGGGTGTGTCCATCGGTTTATCCGTCCAGCTGATGGCGATTGGATCGATAGGGCCATGCCCAAAATTCGCACGATCCTTTCGTCGCGTTACAAGCTCACTTTCGCCTTGGTCTCTTATCGACGACCAAGAATCCATTGTTGCCAATGGAGAGACCACGTACTATCAGCGCAAGAGACTGAATTTGGATTAGTCAGTAAAATCTAAATATAGAACTGAAATCACTATTCTTTCCATATCGACCTACGCTCGATGCACGTTCGACCGGAAGTCGCCTAATCGGATTAACAAGGATGCGAGTAAAGCCAAGGATGCTGGGATAGCTCCAGCCTATTGTTATGTTATTGCCAAATTTAAGTTTCCTCGAGGTTTAAGGTTTAACGAAGAATCAGGTTGCGCCGCGTTATTGAGAATGAAGCAACAAAAGTGCCAACTGCTGATCGATGAGGATTAGGTTTGCTTTGGTGAAGGCTACGAGCGAAAACTTCGAAAACTCCTTCGCTCCATTTGCGCCGCATTTTCGACTCCTTTCTTACTTCAGTCAATTTCCTTATTCCCTCCCCCCTTCGATTTTTTCTGCAGTCGATTAGCCTCCTATTTACCAAGTGGTTCGTGAAAATGAAAAAAAAATCGCCACTCTTATTTTACCAAACACTATCAATCTCCAATTGTCACGCAACCTGCCCAGTCGGTACTTTCGGGCAAGTTCAGTTTCTGGCATTGTTATCAGAGCACTGCGATATGATAACCCGTAAAATTCTTCATAAATAGACACCTACATAAATATAATTCGTATCTCAGTATTTGCTATGCGAGGAAAGATTTGGTTGATACAAAAAGTCTAAACAGCAAGTTATACTTGTTTTATATTGCTTATAAAGAAGCAGGATCCCCTTTAAATTCGTACGTACGATGTAACGTTCTTCCTTCCCGAAGGTAACATCCTTGCGTGACCTTTAAGGGATGATTACGAAATCGCCAAATTGATTTCACTGTCGTAAGGCGAGTCGATTGGGATTCGAGAAAAGCAAAGAAAATTTTGGCCTTTCGTTAGCACGTAACCACTTGCTGCCAGGCGTAGTCAATCGGTACTGATGATAACGCGCGAGCTACCAAAGCTACGTTATCGTCTTATCGAAAAGCGTCATCGTGATAAAGAATGGCATTCGTTCGTCCATATAAATTTTACGAAGCTCTCGGTCCTTATTGTCACTATGCATAGTTACAATTTGAAAATATTTTTTATCGAAAATTAATACAAGTCCTCGATCTCCTAGCGATCTCAGCAGTCGAGTGTCCTTAGCGATTCTTCGGTTGGAGTTACGTAAGGACTTACCGCTCGTCCTGTGAAACTAGCTAAACGTGACCATAAACTTGGCGATCCACGTGCAACCTGTTTCGCGAGTGGTTTCCGCGGCTTTTAAGGATGCTGTTAGGACTCTGTGATATTTTTGAGGATATCACCGGATTATTTACTCATTCTGCATGTAAGGGTACGTATTTATATACGTATATTGCAAAATTTTGCCTTCCGCCACTTTAAAAATTTGTTTACCACGAGTTTCGTAAGTTTTGGAAAAATCTGTCGTTTCACGGTGAAATCGCCTTAGAAATTTCGAACTCGCCGCATAATCGCCGGTGGTCGGCAACGTTGCGTAAGTTATTGCAAGAATCGAGATGTCGCGAATTCCCTGAAATTTTCATGTAACGTGCATCCGAGCAACAGTCGCTAACGGCTACGTGACCGAAGGTCCTTAGTGCCGTTGCATTAAGCTTGCACGCGTCCATAATTTCACGGTGCTGCATGCTGTGACTGAATATTTCGAGAATATACCGGAAGTCGTAAGAGAGATCGCGATTAAAAAATCTTATGCAAACTTTGATCGTCATTTGTTATACGCACGAAGTGTTTGATTCTGCAAATTTCATACAAGTAGACACGGATGTTCCATTTCCGAAGCGACTGATCGACGAAAGTGCCAGAAGCATTGGTGTCGAGGAAAGAAAAAAGAATGACAAAAAAAAACAACAAAAGAGAATAACAGAATATTGTCATTCGCGTAATCGGATGGTAAAAAGTATAAATGCCTGCACCGGTTCGTTCACCTTTCTCTTTGCAGAATAACTGTTACAGCCAGCTGTTACGCGATGGTTTCTTTTATTCTTTGACTCTCTACGGACGAGCGACTCGAGTGCGATTCAAGCGAGAGTTTCTAGCGTTGCTTGCCTATCCTGCTTACCTGCCACTTCGCTTCGGCCTCGCTACTTCGCTGCACTCTTCATTAGCTTACAACAGTTCTCTGACTTCGTGGAGTTAAAGTTGCCTGTCAAAGAATTCCTATGGAACACGGAAAGCAAGAGAGGCGCCATTTTTGTAATTAAAAAAAAGGATTTTCGAAAATTATCAAACGAATCCTCACGTGGGAACAATAACGCGACGTGACCTGAATAGAGAATATTTTAGTACGGAAAATCGCCGCAAGAGAGTTTCGTAAATAGAGTTTATCGCATGATCGACCGACATGAAATTACGATTGCACGTCCGAGGTAGTCTGAATGTCATTGGATTATCAATTGTTTTTAACCGACAGTCACGATAACTCTTTGTGGTAATATACCGATCGTTAACGGTGTCATGTACGACAATAAAAAAATATATTTCTTTGCAATTCAAACCCCACTGCTAATTCTCAGGAATGGCATCGGCGATTGGTTAACGACGAAATTCTGCTGCTTTCCCATGAACGCAGTCGCTTCCTGTCACCGGAAGTTCTCCTCGTACGGTGCCACCACGAAATGGTTAAGTTCGAATAAAAGCGGACAAAGGATCCGAATCGAATGAACGAGCGAAAGGGCAAGCAGGAACTAGGAGACACGCTCGGCTGCTTTTCTATTCGTCCATACGTGACGATTACCTTGGTTTCACAAAAAATTTAATTCCTCGCCATTAGCCCACTTTCCCATCATTAATGAACCGACTGTAAACTCAAAATGCTCGACATAACCAAAACCCAAGTAATATTTAAACTCGTCCGTCCGATTGGCTCTCTGGCTTGGTGATCGTCACTGAATCAGAAGCCGTAACTGCATTATCGGGAAGCCATTTTAAGGCTAATTTGAATCTTCTCATCTTCCAAACTCACGAGCGCAACCGACGGCGTAACTGTACTAACGATACTAGACACGCGGACTCCCGGGTACAACGAGAATCAAGTAGGGACAAGCAGCGCCATCTGACAATAGCAAGAACAAGGTACGCACTAAAATTACCCAAGGATCCTACGCGGATCCGTATCTCTTTTACCCGAGATGATGAGGTTTTAATCGTTCCTCAACTTTCAAGCTGACCTCCTCCAGGATACCCCTCATCCTGTTCCTGATCTCGTGATCTTGTCGCTCTCGTCGGCGTACCCAGTGTTTTCGAATCGTCCAACCCGTTACTCACCGAGAAAGTAAGAGGCGGTCTTGTAACTGTGTACCTACGTTGTTATGGTCACTGAACCCGGCGTTGCCTTTTAGCCTTTTACTACGTCGACGTGTAGACGCCAAGAGACGGCGTACGCTTACGTGAATAACCTTATTAATCCTGCCTGAGGGATCATTTCCAATTTTGGATCGACCTTGCCAAGAGTCGTCTGTCTCTCTGCTTGCCCGTCCATTCAACATACGTCGGAGGAAGTGTCGTAAAACCATTAATTTCAACAGACCTAGCGGGACATAAGCTTCTATGCATATCGAATTAATTAGCTTATCAATATTTATACTTTATTGGTCAATTAATAAAGGCGTCATTTGTTAAATGCACTTTTTGACATATCTTTTGCAGACTGATTAGCGAATCTACAGGTGCCACGTATAATCCCAATGTTTGTTTCATAAATCGACAATATTATTAATTTGTACCTATAAATATTCAAGATATCTGATAAGCAAGGTAAATAAAAATAAAATTTTTTTTCATGATTACTCGTCCTAACGACAACCCATTAAATTGTCCCCTGACATTACGCATACAGAAAGCCAAAGTGTCTGACCTATGACACGAAGTAGTTTCCTCAGACAAGGACACCAGACAACATTTCCTGCCCTTTGAATTCTGATCGATTTTTCGAGACGAAAGTTCAAATTACACACAAACGGCATCCATATCTATATCTACATACCTATGTCATATAAATATACATATATCATACGAATATGTAAAAATATAGCCTCGATCCTACGATTAGTCATCGATCGCGATAAATATAAAATGAACCCGATACAATATCTCATAACGGACAAACTCTACAATCTGAAGTCCACAGCAAGTCTCCAAGTGAAAGAACAAATTTCAAAATATTATTTTTCGAACCCGTAAACCAATGACCCGCAGGTTACGTGAAACAGTAAAAAATTTCCTGCGACACGTAAAAATGTAAAACTGATAAACATAATGGAGTCGGCAGATCGTTTAATCGGAGCAACCTTGATACCATCGTTGTCCATGCGTGGCCATCAGAGTCATCAGCGCCATCCCGACTCCGTTTAGTAATTCAAATCCGAGCGTGGGACAGGCTCGTGTTATATCAGCCATGCAGATGGTTTATTGCGCAATTTTGAGTTAGCTGGCTGCATTACCTATTTTTCCATTCTTCGTAAACACTTGCGGGATCACGAGACTTCGCGTCAGTCTGATGCCACATGGATTTCTACAGCTATAGTTTATTTCAATAGTGAAGCCTGGACGGATTCGATAGTACAGGAAGGATCTGAAGTTGCACAGAGTACCCATATACTAGACCCTGTGCATGCACTGAGTGTTATGTGCACACATGGTATGTATACATATATATACCCTATGCAGAGTATATATGGAATGCGTCAAGTTAGATACATCGCTACGTGCAATATATTTAATTTCCCTATTAAGTTACTGATTCGCATGGACACCGGTAAATTATTGTTTCATGGTGAATTTGAATATGACGTTGAAAAAGGTCAATGCGACTTTAACGGCGACTGTCGATCCTTGATATTCGATGGAACGAAGGTACGGCGGATCGTTGGATCTAGGGAACGAGGGGCTTTGAGAGAAAGGTGAGTCATCGACTTTTGATCCGATCGAGAACTCTTCCGCGATGCTGGAACGATTTATAGATCAATCGATAGGCTGGTATATAGGAGGTGCGGATTTCTATCTGGTCGATTTTATACACGTGATTGAACGGTGGTAGTGCCTGGTGCCTTAAACTCGGGATTACGTAACTTTTACGAGCCTGTCGTCGTGTCAGCTGAACTAGTACTGGACCGACGCTGCGCCGATCGTCGTTGCACTGCACCAGATTGACGCTCGTGGAAGTTCAGGATTATTACGGTAGGGCGGGAGTCGCCTGGAGCTATGGATTGTGGAATTTCGTTCGATCATTTTACTGCAGCCTGTTGCAGCATCGATAGAGGATCGCTTGAGCCAAAGAGATTCAAGAGAGAGAACGAGATAGATCTGGTATTGGAATATGAGTCATCATTGACTCTCGATTGAGCTGCAAGTAAATTACCGTGCTAGACGGATTAATGGTAAGAGTCGGTACCTGAAATGCATTTTGCTTTCTTTTTATGCTCGAGAGTTTCAGGTGCAAATTGGAAATTCACGGTAGATCATTGCACTGACGTATACTGACGTGCACTGGCATGCATCGGCAATGCACTAGACTATCAGGTTGCAGGAGTTAAGGATCTTCGGTCAGCCCGGGAATCCTCCAAGGCCAATTAGGTTCTCATCTCGTGCGTTAGACGTATGTACGTTAATTGCCAGGAGCAGCGAACGCGAGTTGTGCACTGGGTCAGAGAGTCTTTATAGGAAAGGAAAAGAATGGCCGTTAATTAGAAGAAAATTCGCGTGGGATTGTGCCGCGCGGTTATCGCGGCGCATCTGAGCAGAATGCAATAGCTCTAGCAGAACAAAGGCTCGGAAGGAACGAGATCGAGAGTGGGACTTTCGGTACGAGAAAGTATTTTTCATTTTTCTTTCTCCTTCTTGAGACCGGAATTGCCTTGTTGGAATGCACCTATTGCCTGTGCACATGCAGGCGTGTACTCGTGTACTTTTATACTCACGAATGGGAGGAGAGACGTTTATTGGGATGGGCTGTGGTGCGTATCCGGTCTTGATCACAGGAGAGAAAGGAATCGTAGAACGAGGGGAGATCTGGTCTTGGAATAATCACTAATGCGTTCGTGTAGTCAATGTACTTCACTGCTTTATGCCACCTTATGACGGCCATATCTTACTTTAGTCTTTTCATCGAATTGGGGATCGAGAAAATGTTCTGAAAAGGAAGCAAAAGAAATTGCGAAATCGGCATAACGTATTCTGCCATTCGACAAGGTCTGATTGCGTGAAATGGAAAGGTTACTGATTGCCTAGAATGTATAGCGGACTGTATAGAATGTGAGAAGGCTGTTTGTATACAAAAAAGATTGGTTAGTCACGCGGAAGCATTATTTTAGAATTTCAGTATTTTCTATGGAAAACTGTGATATCGTCAGGTTTCTCCTTATTTGGGAATATTACAGTGAATATGGATTCAGGCAGGTGACCGGTAGTCCATACCAAATTCGTGAAGAGGCACCTGTCCAACGAGTGGACGTTATTCGATATCAGCTGTCGTAAACCGTCACGCTTGCAAATTGAAAAGAATTCTTTGGTGGTTTGTAAAAATGTCCAGAATGCGCTGAAATAATACGAGCCTAATCGTATTAGTCGTAAAATTTATATTACTCGAATTGACCGTTCCGCTGAGAAAACAACGATTAGGCGCCTAGACCGAAAGCTTCGAGTAACCGTCGAATAATTCAAATGTTTGTTTTTGCCGAGTAAAGAAAATTTTCTTGCGCGAAACTAAAGATCAGACGTATTGCATAAAGTATGAAATTTTGCACTGGTACGGTGTAACGTTATCATGAGTCAGCTTCGTGTTTTTCGTGTCATTTCAGCCGAGCTCGACTCTCTGGAGTCTCAGGAGGTTTTAGACAAACAATGGACTAGCGGAGACGTCGTGCCTCTGCGTGTTTCGAACGAGCTGCCGAGAATCGTACGAGGTATACGGGTCTACGATAACTTCAATATTTACTATATTCAAGCACCGTCTGCCTTCAACGTACTTCTGCCATCTTTTGCTATTCGTGGTAATAGGCGTTGGTACGATAAACACAAATTTCAAACATAACACTTCAATTCATTGACACCTACAAGCAAGAAAACCAACACAACTGTCTCGTACCGATTGCGTTTTAAGAGAATCATGTGAATCCATTTCCAAACTTTTGTTAAGTACTCTTCCAAGAATTATCGTTTCCGTCGTTCATTCTTTTTCAATAAAATAGTCCGGATCTTAATACAAGCACAAGGCAATCAATTCCTTTTTATTATTTCTTCAGCTAACCCACTAGAACTCCAGGCATTCCCTACCCTCTTTCTTTCCTTCTTCTTTTCCTATCCACTGTGTATACAATTTATGAGTCGATTTCGTCTTTTCTCTAAAGCACCACGCACGTAAATATTTTTAATGACATTTAGCCGGTTATCGTATTTCGACATTGCGCAATGCTATTGTTTCTAGAGACAGATAAGGCCGTACTCACCTGTCTGAAGGAGCGAGCGATAAAACGTTCCGCGCAAAGTCTGGCACGCAACTGTCGCTTAGCTCTCGGACTTCGTACGTCGTCGGCTTTACTCGCGAGTCCTCGGTCCTGCCACGCGGACAGCGTGTCTCCCATCGTCGACTGATCATTATTATCTAGATATTCCTTAGGTGAGGCCATACTGGCTGCACTGTTATTCTACCTGTAGACTAGATAACCGAGCGTCACAACGTCTAGAGCGTCCAGCTATATTCCAGATAATAGAGTAAAAATCATCTGCAATCCGAATGATAGAATCGACCGCAATGGAAATTGGCAGAATCTCCAGGTAACTTCCTTATATTTGATCCGTGAGCAACCGAACATTTCTCGAAACGTCTAGCTACCATTTTGTAAACGACAGCTCTGTACTTATAAATTTCTAACAATCATAACCGCGCTTCACTCCTGCGTTTGAATTTCAGGTCATTTCACGCAGAATGTTTCGAATATGTTGTGTCTATGTATGAATATAGCCGACTGTCTCTGCAACGACGTCTAATAGAAACGTTCGCGCGATCCAACGGCGAATTATGAATCATGATAAACGGATGATCATGCCGTCTGGCTGATCTCTGCGATTCGATGTCTGTGCAACGGTGGAGGCGCGTCTGTGCGTCTAAAATGAATTAATAGGTACGTGTGGTCGAGTCTCGTGAGTGACCGGCAGTTGAGCTTCGCGTCACTTATAGTTAGCCAAGCAATGGCTCGTAGGAGTACAGCGCGCTTTCTCGCGCCGCTTCGATATTAATCATAACGAACTGAGGTACTTTTACTGTAGAGATGGCGTTAAGAATGAGGCCTGTTGTGACGGTGGCTATACCTCTGTATCTACATAAGGTGCGTAAGGTCTACAGAGCGAAGTACAGTACGTGGCACGTAGGTATACCGTGTACCGACATAGGCATATGTATATACATATTAATGAGACAGATAGTCGACAGCGGGTAAAACGGGATTTAAAACTGGTTAGGATTGGTCCAAGGGTTCATTCCTTTATTCTTTAAGGCAGCATATAACATAAATAATCCTCTCAAACGTGTCAACAAATGTGAGCTCGTGTAACGGTATTTACATGTTTTCTCGGAAAATGGATCTTCCGGAACGCTGGGGACGGTGAGAGATTCTCATCGGTAAATCATCCTTATGTCTACTTGTGGGCTATCAATGTGATGTCGTTACCGGGTTGTCATGGATAAATAATTAATTGTGCTACAAAGTGAGCGATGAGGTTGGCGCAAAGGGATTAATGTAAACCAGAAAAATCCAAATATTCCGCGACGAAAAGTTTTCATGTTTATTTGGCTTTTCGGATTTCTCTGATTTTCCGAATTTCCACAATAATTCTTCTCTTCGCGATCACGCACTCATATTTTTTTTATTTATTTTCTTCCTCGAGTCGCATTTTGTCATGGCAACAGGCCTTCTGGGATTTAGGAGGCTAGACACGATCCACCTCGGAGCCTTCGACCTGGAGTCAGAGGTCGCTCCTTTTCCTTATCCCGATCGATCGTGATTATATCGATGCCTCGTATCGAACGAACGTGCTCTCGTGGCATGCTTAATCCATCAGTGCCACATGACACTTTTTCTTACAGCTTTTCTCATAACCTTTTTCATTTTATTTAACTGGAATTATAATTGCCTTTCGGATGTATTCAAAATGTCCGTCTGCTCATGGAGCATCCGTGCGCCACGTTGGATTTCCGATCCGCTCGTTCATCCGTATCTATCGGGTAATGATAATTCCCAGCCTACCCAACTTTTTCTTGTAATCGAGGGCAAATTATCCTGATCGTCCACAAATCTTTAATCGAACATCGTCAATACACCCGTGCAACAAGAGGTCACGCTTTTTCGAGTCCATGCGTGCATCTCACTTCCGGTTCACGCCTGTTTCGGATGAGGTGCCGGAGCAGGGGGTTCCGACCGGAAGCAGGAGAGCAGGAAGCCGGTATACATGGTGAACAAGATTGTGATGGCGATCAACATGTACATGTAAATATTTAGTTCCGGTTGCCGGAAGCGATTTTTACGTAGCCACTCCAGGACGTCCTGCTCGTTGTGAAGATCACCTTTAAATAATTAAATATATTTATTAACAGTAAATTTCAATAATTTTAATAAAATATCTCACCTCGGTAGATACTGGGAAATCGTTTCCGGAAATAAACTATAGCTGGCAGTTTGGTGACTCCCCACTTCCGGGCATATCGAGGATCGGCCATCTTCACGAAGGTGATGTCCAGGTTGTCAGTTTCGCCATCGATATTTTCCAGTCTCTCGTTCACCTCGGCACTCTCCTTGTGATTGTTTTCGTCTGGAGATAAGGAACAGAGTTACGAGAGGGTCCTGTGTAAAAAAATTTGAATCCTCAACGTCACTCACAGAAGAAAACAGTTAGGAATTCGTTCTCGTCCAGAAGTTTATCCAGCATCTTCTTGTTAACCTCCTCGATTTCATTTTTGATCTCAAAGACATCCTGCGAAGTGAGCCACTGCAGAATCTTATCTTCTTGTGTCAAGTCGCCGTCGTAGATCAGCGGCGTCTTCTTCCGGAAGTACACCAGCGACGGTACGTTCAGTATACCATACTTCTCAGCGGTTTCCGGGCTGAAGATCTTCACGAAGTCTATTCCAAACAGATCGGCCTCGCCATCTATTTTCTCCAGGGCTTCCATGATCTCATCACATTCCGGGCAGTCCTCATCGTCTAGGTAAGAGAATACAAAAGAAAATAATCAATCGGTCCAAAGTCGAAAAAATCATTAATAAACTCTTTTGTTTTCTCATAATAAAATTCTTACAGAAGAAGACCGCGAGGAACGGCGACTCGTCCAGAAGTCTTTCCAGCATTCTGTCATTGACCGACTCGATCTCGTCAGCCAATTCCCGATTGTCATCGTCGATCAGCCATTCGAGAACGGATTCCTCGTTTTGTAAGTCACCTGATACCAATGACTCATTTTAAAATTCAAATAACAATACCAAAAGATTCTCCTACAGAAATGCACTCGAACAGCCATAACCTTCAAAGAGAAGAGGATTCCCGTTACGGAAGTAGACGAGAGCAGGGAACGTTTTAATGGAGTAACGTTTGGCCAGTTGGGGATCCTGAATCTTCACCATGTGTATACCAAATACGTCACACTCGTCATCGATCTTCTCCAGTCCTTCGAGAATCTCGTCACAGATGTGACAATTCTGCTTATCTACCATCATCACACAATATCCAAATGAATTTGTCCAGTTGGACCGCCGCGACAATGTTCGTGCTTGCGCAGACAATACGTACAAAAGTAAACGGCCAAATACTGAGTGTCTTCGACGGACGCTTCGAGCATCACTCTGGTTATCAATTCGATACGGTCCTCCGTTTTCTGAGTGATCAACCACTGCAGCACCTCCTCCTCCTCCGAAAGGTCACCTGCCCATCATCGATTGAGATACAGTTGGGGCGAGAGAGGAAATTATAAGAAAATATCAAAAGACCAGACCTTCGAATACGTTTGGCGTTTGATTCTCGAAGTAAACCAGAACCGGAAAGTCGGTGACCCCGTAATCCTCGGCGATCTTGAAGTCCTGCGTCTTGACGAACGTGATCCCGTGTCTGTCGCAGTCGTCGTCGATGTTTTCCAGTTCCTCCAGTATGCCGGCGCACTGCTCGCAGTCATCGCTATCTGTGGAAGACTCGATCGTTAAAAAAAGGAGACACTCCGCCTGGGAAACACGTGGGTGCAAAGGAGTGCGAGAACTACGTGTCTGATGTGGACGATGACGCGAGTAACGATAACTGAACGACAGTACTGTGAATGTGGAGGATGTTTGTGTTCTTCGATAAGATGATACTTTGTAATGACGATTGATGATGTTGTTGCTGGTGTTGTTTTTTTCTGGTTGTCGTTCTCTAGGGGGAAATAACCACGCACACCAAATGCTCTCAAATCTCTACTGCTCGAAGAAAATTTAATTTCCGTGACAAAGACATGCCGAAGGAAATAACTGAACACTGATCTGCGTAGCTGCGTAGCACCGGGTTCACCACATGCTGGGATTGTCACATTATTCTTCGGGATGAAACAGTCTAATCGTCTAAAGGAAGGAAGAACAAAAAAAGAAGGACGAAAGAAGAAGGTGAAAACAAAGGGGAACAAAAGTAATGTAAATTCTCTCAAAAGACGTATTATAGGCGTCGGTTTAGGAACCAGGACGGATAGATGCAATCGCGATAATGTAGCTTGTGAGGCTAAAAAATTGATAACAAAAAATATGAAAAATTGGCACTAAAAATATAGTAACTGTAAGCTGCTGATTGGAGAGAGATAGAAAGAAAAAAAGAGAGAATTCTAAGGTATTGAGAAAAAGTGGGACAGAGGGGGATAAACTTATAGTGAAAATCTGTCTTATTTATGATGGTCTTGTACCGTCGACGTCTTCGGCCACCTCAGCCTCCGCCATCCGCTGCTCCTGCTTGTGACGCATCTGCTTGCGGAACGCTTTCGATTGGCACATGTCGCAAAGCGTTCTGTTCCCTACGGCATTAGTTCACATCGTGTATAGCTTTGGAGAATGGAGACAGGCAGTTAGAGCGTCGAGTCGCTAAGCGCAATGCACATACGATACGATAAGTCGCTTATCGATGTAAAGAGATTGTTAATTGAGCTCGCGTCTACCGCGAGTTGTCGGGCTCGTCAAGTCGAGCTCATAATTTTTCTACGAGTCTAACGAAGACGAAGAAGAAGAAAAGGAAGAAGACTTCCCGCGATGAACGAGAAGTGAGTGACAAAGATGTCGAATCATTATCATCATCATCATCATCATCATCATGACGTATCGTTACTCAGTCCTAGGGTCAGGTGCCGGTTGATCATTTAATTAATTAATTATAACTACTGTAAAACCTCAGTTACGTCCAATACAGGAACATACACAGCAGGCACATTCCTCAAACACTGGCTGCCATTAATGCCGCTTCACTTTTCGATGACATGAAAACGTCTTCCTCGACCAAAAGACAGTCTCCGTTGTGAAAGCTTTAAGTATGAAGAAAAAATAAAAAGTGAAAATTGTAAAAGCTATGCACTGTAACAGCCAGTAGTAGAGTGTCCTAGAGGCTAGAGATACATTCCTGCTTGGCAGTTGACAGCGGCTGAGGGACTGTCAAACTTACAGAAGTAGACTGCCAAGGAGTCCGACTCCCGAATAAGATGCAGAAGGTCTTCGCCTTCCAGAGCCTCGATTACCTCGCCGGAAGGATCTTTTTGGGTAAGAAGCCACTGAAGGATTTGTTCCTCGTCGTAGAGGTCACCTGGACAATTTTCAATGTCACGTTAATTTATCACGTCTCATTAATTTAGAAGCCTGGAGCATGGATAAGGACGGGGACAGTCTACCGGCGTAAATGACAGGCTCCTTCGAGCCCATTTTGAAGAAGAGGATTCCGGGCAGAGCGAAGACGCCGTATTGCTTGGCCAGCTGCTTGTCGTCTATCTTTACGAAGTTGATCCCAGCTCCGTCGGCCTCGTCGTCTATGTGCTCGATCTCGGCCAGGACTCGGGTGCACTGTTTGCAGTCGTTGCTGTCTGAACACACGCACAGTTCATTCCTTGCTCGATAATATTTTCAGTTAAATCCAAAGAGTCAGGATGGAAGGACCAATCGCGTGATCTCCTGTAGGGACGATCGGACCAATACTCACAGAAGAAAACGGCCACGTAATCGGAAGTCTGCCTAATCTTGTGGAACATCTTCCTGTTGATCCTCTCGATGTGATCGGTGAGCTCCATGTTTTCCGGATTGGTCAACCAGTCGAGGATCTCTTCCTCGTCGTCGATGTCGCCGTCGTAATTGATGTACTTGCCCTTCCGGAAGTAGGTGATGCCTGGAGGATTACGGAAGCCATACTTCTTAGCCATCAGTCGGTCGCTCATCTGAACAATCTTGATCCCGTACTCGGCGGCTTCGTCATCGATCAGCTCGATGTGCCGCAGCACTCTGGGACTCTCTGGATCCTCTTCCTTGTCTGAAAGGTACCAAACGAATAATCCTCTAGACGCTTTTACGAGTTGTGTCGATTATTAATTATTAATTATTAATTCTTAATAAAACGTTGATCCTCACAGAATACGACGGCCAGGAACTCCTTGGTCTCTATGTACTTGGTCAGGGTGTCCCGATCGATCTTCTCGATGCTCGCGTCGTTCTTCTGCTTTACCATCCAGTCCAGGACTTCCGTCTCATCGAGCAGATTACCTGGGAGGGATTCATCATCAATTCTAGTTACCAAATTTTCCACAAGGTGGATCTTCGAAATCGCCAAACGACAAACTTCCGGTTCTCTCAACTCGTAAGCAAGTGAGTCGATCGCGGCTCTGCTATTTCAGGCTGTTACGAGGAAGCTGCAGGTGTTTTGAATAAACGAAAAGACAAAGGAAAGAGATTGCGTGCCAACCAATGGAGAAACTTTCCTTCTCAATCAGCCGACATACAAGTAAGCTCGTTCTGGAATGGCTAATCTGAACATTACCTTTCTTCCCTTCGAAGGCAATATCTTTTATATTTCTTCCGTATGTACAAACAACACTTACCATCGACAGAATCACGGAAAAGCCCTTTTATGGAAGAACCGTCGAACGTGGATACGTCGCAAGGAAGAGAGAGAGAAAAAAGTAAAACAGAAGAGAAAATGAAAAGGAAAGTAGGATATAAAAAATTATAAAGAACAACAAGACACATGCCAAAGTGACGACGTGGGGATCCAATCTTCCAGCATGCCCATCCACCGTTTCCAGGCAACGTCACTTTCCTGCTTCCTGACGCAACTCGAAGGTGGAAGCTTCGCTGAAGTTCTGCGTCTTCCGAGAGTCCTCTTGCACCCGTCCATTCTCGACTCTTGCTCTTTGCTCCCGCGCACAGCGATTCCTCGATTTTACGTTCGATCTATATTTCCTTCAAATGCATTTGCTAAGCTTCATTTAATTTTACTTTGTAACGCGAGACGCGAATTTTTGACCAGACAAAATTTTGAGATCGGCGTTGTATCGGTGTTTTCGATAAATTGACCTATTGACATACCTATAATACCTACGAAATAATGGTCAAAGCAAGTATAAAAGGATACCATTTAGTACTAGGAAACATATTTATTATCATCATACTGAGTTTACCATACATGTTGCTCTTAAATGATTAACAAAATTACCGCTTTGCGCGTATTCCGTGTCCATATGTGATACGTTGATTATGCGTACGTGAGTGCCAAAGTATTCGTGTTTGTGAGTTTCTACGTATAAAAATATACTCGAGTACAAATTCGTAGATATTTTTAAAACAGTCACTGTACCAACAATTATACAGTATGCCTGATCTGCTCCTGGTTAACGGATTTCAATTGGCATTTAACGTAGTAACGTACCGCGATCTATTTTCTTCTATACAATCTTTTCCTTATTTTATCATTCTCTTGCTTCTCTCGAGTATATATCGAATACTCGTTGTCTAGGCCTTAACGACTGCCGACGTGTGCAAACGTTCCGCGATATTAATCGTGCTCTCGTGCGAACGAGCGATCTATCCTCGATCGTGACGAGTCGCGATCTAAAAGCGTCTGAAATGAAAAAAAAAGGAAAAAAAAGATTGGGAAAACGGAACATAGACACGTGGAGCAAAAGCAGGAGAGTTTGCTGCTCGGCAATGCGACGCGAATAGTTTAGTTTTTCGCTTAAGGCAGTCACGTACCTACAATGGCTGTATCTAGATTCTCTTGAAATCGTCATCACAGTCTATTCGTCTTTCTCTTTTGAAAATCCTAAAATCGCCTGATCGTTCGAGTATTAAAATAATGTAAAATTGTTCGCTCGCTCGCACGTGCCTCGCGCGACATTGCAACGGAATTTCAACGTTCAACGTTGTCGTATACAGGCATCATTACGTATATTATTTGTTCGTTGAGCAGGCTCAGGCATCGTTGAAATAATGATTATCGCACAAGTGGACAACTCAAATGCAAAGAGAAATGTGACGTAAGCGTCAGGCTTTAGCCGTTCTCCAGACACGGTGTCCCGGTTGCCGAGCAAGCGCTAGAAATTTGTCCGAAAGATCCGACGAGCGAACGAGAAGGACTTCTGACGACGGGAAAAAGACGCTCGTGACTGGTAAACGACGTGGAGCAACGGCGTCCCGACGCCGAGTTACGTGAAAAGGACGTTAGAAAAAGATTGCTTCGTCTCGCATCCTTAGGCATTTTAGCCGAGTGACGACGAGGCGTTCTGGCAGGTAAATAAAGTAATAACACGGCGTTGCACATATACAGATTCATTAATAACAACGTGTTAGAAACGATAAATGATAACGAAGCATAACAAAGCGTAAACGGGTCGTACAGTAGTACAAAAAGAAAACAACAATAATAACACGTACCGCGGGGTTCCGAGCAGGGAGGTTCTTTCTTTCTTTATTTTTTTATTCTTTCGCTTCTTTTCACTTTTTGTTTTTCCGGATTCTTCGTGCGCTCGACTTTCGTGTCTTACGAAGAGAAATGCGTGCGAAAGAAAATTGGAAGACACGTCGGGGAGTTGAGAAGTAAAGGCTAACGAGGAAAGAAAGTGAAAGTCATAGACGGAGAGAAGTAAAGGAAATGGAAGAGTCTGTATACGTAATAAGTAACAGGGCCGTAATTATCGGACAACGAGCCCCGCGGTAAAGAAGCGGCCGACGATCCTTCGCGTTACACGGCGATCGTACTTTTACGACTTTTCTTCTTCATTTCCTGACTGGTCCAGCGTAAGCGAGTACCTCGATTTGTGTATTAACAATGGTGATAATAATGATAACAGCGAGATGCAAAGTGACGGTGAGGATTGTAGTATATGTAAATGTGGGGGCGAGTTGTAGGTGGGCGCCTCGCTAACGATATTTATAACTTGTATAGTGGAAACGAATTATCGGAATTCAGTATAAAGAAGAAAAGTCTTGATCGGGTTATCCAGCCTGATAACCGGTCCACGAGATTCATCTTCTTCGGCATGATGAACGCATGACGAATGTTGTCCCACTGATGACGATGATAACGTTATGCCGCATCAAGATTCCTTTGGATGTTCTCGATTCCTCGGTATATGACGATGATGGAGAGAGAGAGAGAGAGAGAGAGAGAAAAGGTAAGACAAAGAGAGAGTGAATGAGAGAGCGTAATCAAAGATAAATTTCGTGACAGACGCGGACGTCGGTAGTCTCAGGATCGTCCGTCTGATTTTGCCAAGATTTCAGTGCAAGGGATCATTTTGGTCGTAAGGGTCGTAAGCGTCCGTCATCCCCTCCGAGCGAATCATCCCCTCATTTTCTCGTTCTCCTCTTCCCCTTCCCACCGTCGAGGTCGTCACGAGGTCGAGGTCGAAGGTCGCGCCGCTCCCATAGCTTTTCTTGGTCTCGAAGTCTCTTGACCTCGAGTTATCGGTCCCTCGACTGAAATCCTCTAAACCTTCATGAGGTAGGGAATCCCGGCGACAACTGCAACACCCGATAAGCCAAGACACCAGCTGGGTCAGAATCGCCTCCAGTGAGGTTAGGTTATCTTCTCTCACGAACTTCATTCTCCTTTGCTTATCGTAACACGTTCTTCCTTATGCTCTGTTCATTTTCCTTATTCTTATCGTAACTCTTAGAATCCTTAGCTTTGTATCTGGAGCGCTCCTGAGAAGTATCTCGAGAGGGGGACAGAGAGAGAGAGAGAGAGAAAGAGAGAGAGAGATCTCGATAGATTGTCTCCAGTCGCATTTGCATGTGAAT